CGGGGCCTGTCGTTCGACGGTTTCGGCCCCTCGCTTAGTTTAGGGTTCAGGGTTTAGGGTTTAGGGTTTAGGGTTCAGGGTTCAGGGTTTAGGGTTCAGGGTTTAGGGTTTAGGGTCGCGCACAAGGAGAAGCCCTTCGTAAGGAGTTTGAAGGAGTCTTACCTACCTTAACCTACCAAAACCTACTTTTTTGTAGGGTCCCTATAGGTTCCATATTAGGGTTTAGAATAAGAACCTGCAAAAAAGTAGGTTTCGGTAGGTTAAGGTAGATTACAAATATTCATTCGCCAATTCCCACAGCTACGTGCTCCCGAGGAGGTCGCCACGCACTCCATGCGGGTGGGGCTCTTAGTGAGATGCACGACGGGGTTCAGAGTAGTCACGGGATTCGGGTGGCTTGAGAAGGGACTACCGTTGCTGCATATGTCTTGCTCGTTTCAGGGATTGGATGTGCTACGCCTTCCTGCTCGTGGTTCGGGATGCATCCACAGCATGCGTGCTAGCCGCATTTCTGTGCAGCAGTCTTGAACGTTCTCGGCCATGTCATCAGTCGTCTAGCCAGACTGACACTTCCCCAAACCCCCAAAAGGATCTAACAAATAAATCCCCTAAGGGGGTTCCTATAAAGTACCCTTTAGTAGTTAGGGTCCCTAATTAGGGGATCTATTTTTCAGATCTTTTTGGGGGTCTGGGTCTGTGAATGACGGAGCAGGAAGCAAGCATCCGGTCGGAGGAATGCCTCCCAAGCTGAACATCAGTCCTCGAAAACTCGAAAACCTGAGCAGCACAATGGATGTGCCTTGCCGTGCCGTTGGGTTGAGCTGGATCTTGTATAGCCTTGAAGCGGTCCACCCTTGCTGCTGCTGCTGCTGCTGCTGCCTGTTCTTCAGGAGTCTACTATAGGGGCCTTAATGATTACTTATACTATTTTGGGGGTTCCTCATTATAGTTATAGTATAATATCCCCCGAAAGCCTATTCTAATGATTAAGGCCCCTACATTGCCCCAACACGCCTTCACACCCAGAGCAATCTTGACGCTCCAGGTGCAACAAGATGTGCAGCGCCTCATGCAGCGCTCCCAGGCACTGGAGGCACCATTCCTGCAAGCAGAGAGCTGCTGTTGCGGGCGTGCTAAGTTGGTGATATGTAAAGCACCTTCGGGTTTAGGGTTTACATATCCCTGTGGTGTAATCACCCTCCATGTGCTCCACACCGATTACCTGTCTTCTGATGATCTTCCAATGCCCGCGCTCGCAGATGCACAGCTCCGAAGAATTCAGGCATCCGACCCTTGCTGAAGCTTCTGCAAATGTTGCCTAGCCTCGTCTCCTTGTCCCTGCAGCATTACGCCGTCTTCCACCAAAAAGGGCTTCTATCTCCACGTTCCTGTGCTTTCGACGCCAGTCGCGGCTGTCGGCGCTGGACGGGCTGCAGAGCCCTCAGCACTACCAGGGTTACCGATGCTCAGAACTAATGGCACCGAGGGCAGCCTCCATGGCCACTGGCGGCGGAGACGCTTCAGCGGCTGCCGTGGAGGCGAGCAAGATGCGTGTGCGTTTGTATTCTGAAATAGGTGTCTCCTTTGAATCCTCCTGTGGCTGCGAACAGCCCGCAGCAGGTTTCTGAACTGGATGTCTTGGGGAAACTACGAGTGAACACCCTACATCATATGGGTAGTTCTCTAAAACAGGGTCCCTTTTTGGGTCCCCAAATATAGTACGGTACCCTTATAAAAAGGACCCTAGTTTAGAAAACTACATCATATACTGACGGCATGTAGCTGCACTCAGAGCAGGCTTGGGCAAAGTAGGCCAGAGCGAGTCGCCCTTCAAGCACTTGCGCGGGAAACCTTCGTGTCGCTTTGTTTGCTGCGTGTTTCATGTTGGAGCTTCTTAGTAAGAGGTGTGCCGTATCTCAGGCAGTTCAATGGTCCTTCTAATCAGGATCCTGCCATAAGCGTCCAAACTGCGGTGCACCGTGCTTCTGATGGCGTGTGCGATCGAAAACACGCTTATAGCATGATTAACCCTTACAGCAAGCCGTACAGTAAGGCTTATAGTAGCCCGAAAGGTAGCCTGACAGAAACCTTACAGTCGAAAGGAACCCTTCAAACTTATCGTAACCCTAAAAGTAGCCTTACAGCAAGGTTACAGTCGAAAGGAATCCTTAAAGGAACCCTTCTTGGCCCATTTTCCAGGCCCTCGAGCGCCGACTCGAGCAGCATCTTGATGAGAAGCTGAGCCCGCCTGTGCCCTGATGCGGGGTTTAGGTTTAGGATTTGGGGTGCTGTAGGACCCTAGGAGCCTTTGAAGAGAGGTTGGAGGTCACCTGCCACATTGCAACGGCAAATAAAGAGGCCTTAATAATTAGAATAGGGTTTGGAGTATATTTTACTATACTGTAATTGTAGTGAGGAGCCCCAAAAACCATATCTAATTCTTAAGGCCCCATTACTCTTGAGTCTCCGTTCCAGTTGGACTCCAGGCTGCGGGAGCAGTTGTCGCTCCTCGATGCGCCCGAGAAGATCACGGCGGAGGCATTGGCCTCTGAAGCCAACCGATGCTCAAGTGGGAGTTTCCCATTACGAGGAGATCTCCATATATTTATGTATGTATGTATGTATGTATGTATGTATGTATGTATGTATGTATATATATATATATATATATTTATGTGTATATATATATATATATATTTATGTCACTTATGTGTGTGTGTATATATATATATATATGGATATGGTACCGTACATCGAAGGACCCCCCCCCAAAGAAGCTCGTTCCGTAAGTGCCGAGCTTGGGAAACCAGGAGGTTTCCCTGCAGGCTGCTCTCAGTCAAGCCTCCGCAATCGAGGGCTCGAATGTCATGTTGCAGGAGCTCCAACATAAATATGGGGCCTTAATAATTACCTATGCTATTGTGGGGCTTCCTTACATTAATTATAGTCTAATGATCCCCAAAGCCCTATTCTAATTATGAAGGCCCCTAAACCCTGAACCCTTATAGTAGCCCTGTTGGAACCCTTTAAAGGAACCCCAAAACCCTATTCGAATTACTAAGGCCCCTGTTTTGTTCAGTAGAGCTTCCTGATCCCCAAACCTCAGTACATGGATTGGCCGAAGGCGGCTTCTGATTTTTGAGGCCCCGTGGACCTGCAGATGATGCTGTATGAGTGTCGACTTCTGTAGCCGCCAAAGCCCTGACCCCTTGGGTTTAGGGTTTAGGGTTTGGGGTGTGTTCAAACCCTGAATAAACCTAAACTCTGAAGTGTGCGCTATACCCTTGGAGCCCCTGAAGCCCCTAAACCACTTTAGCTGAGCCCTTGACCTGAGTGTGGCCGATTTCCCTTGAACCTGCAAACCCCTAAACCCCTACGCCCTTGGTGCCCTAGAGGGTTTAGGGTTTAGGGTTTTTGTCTGCAAGCAGATGAGGGGCTTACAGTCTTCTGTCGCGTGCCTTGCAGGCTTGGGCTAGAGAAGGGGCTGAGCAAGGAACTGGGACGGTTCTTGTTATCAGGGCCCTTTTTCGGATGTCTTTGCAATTGAAGATCCTCTTCTTTTGGGTTGATCTTGAAGATCCTGCTGTTTGGGATTGAAGTAAGGTGCCCGATATTCAGAAAGCCTCGTCCAGCCAGGAGAAGATGGACAAGGGTCTGCTCGAGCAGGTTCACAAGGATCTTCTCTTCGCCGGGAAGCCAAGCCACACCTGGGTCCTGGATACAGTTTTGCATTTTTTTATAAGGAAACCCAATAGGGTGTAAACATGATCATAAACCCTAAACCCTAAACCCTAAACCCTTAACCGTGTAGCCCCAACAGGGAGCCAGAAGCAGTCCACGAATTTTTTGCCGAAGGGTGGAAATCTCGCATCTGTCCAGGGGAGAGCTGTACCCTAAACCCTAAACCCTACTTAATTAAGGGATGTACCCTAAATCCTACTTACTTGAGGGATATTTGAACGGAGCTTTCTATGATTTAGCACTTGAATTCAGAGCTCAGGGGTTGCACCTTGCTTTCTGCAAAAGGTTATTGTACCATTACCACGTGCTACTCGTAACTTGCGAGGACCATCTTCCTGTGCTACCGTAGTAGCGCCTGATACTGACACCTTGTCCAAGGCGCAGCATTCTAAAACTTCAACCCTCTAAACCCTAAGCCAGGCCCCTAATACAGGGACCTTAATGAGCAGAATCGGGTTTTGGGGCCCATTTAACCATAATTATAGGAAAGAACCCACAGAATAATATAGGTAATCCTTTAGGCCCCTACATTCTGTGTTAAATCCCGAGCCCTGCACGCGTCACATGGCACTCCGCAGCCCAGGGCTCGCCAGCCTCGCCCAGTGCGCAGGAGGAGGCGAGGTCGGCGGAAGCCCCAGATTGGAGTTTCGGAAAATCAGGGTAATGTAGTTAGAATAATAGGGTTTGGGGGTTGCTTTAAAGGGTTCCTTAAAATGTTCTATAAGGGCTACTATAAGGGTTTAGGGTTTAGGGGCTTTAATAAGTAGAATAGGATTTTGGAGTATATTATACTATCATTGTAATAAGGAGCCCCCAAAACCCTATTCTAATTATTAAGGCCCCTATATTAATTTATTTTGGGGTCCTGATAATAAGGATCCTACTGTTTAGGGCACTATATCTCTAGCGTGTAATCTGAACCCTCAAGAGCGTATTGTACGGACATGTGAACTGGTTATGCCTCAGATTCAAGAACGCCCATGCTAAAAGCTACAACACATGATGCCGGAGTCCAGCTGCATCGCTGGACGGAAATTATGCATGTGAAGGTTTCTAAACATCCACGCCGACCCTAAACCCTAAACCCTAAACCCTAAGCCCTAAACCCTAAACCCTAAACCCTAAACCCTAAGCCCTAAGCCCTGCACAGGCACCTGATCCACTCGCCCTCATTAATGCCACCATTGCCTCGCGCG